CCCCCCCCAAGAACACCAATGTATGCTGAAGTTGTGTGCCCAGCCCTCCCTTTTCACCCCAGCCCGGTTGCCTCCAAACCAGGGACATTTCTCTCCCCGGCTCCCCAGAAGAAAACGTCTCTGCACGTTGGGCTCCCCCTTCCAGGCTGGTGCATGGGTGAATGCGCGTGCATGGGCGGGCGTGTTTGTGAGAACGCCACAGGGCCGAGTGCGGCAGCCGCTAGCTAGCCCTGGGGGCGCGGAGGCAGCTCGTGGCAAGGAAGGGGGAGGCAAGAGAGAGAGGGGGGGGCCCGTGGTGGAGCAGGTTAGACGTACCACTCTTTTTTGGAAATAAAAGAGCCATCATTCTGAGAGACCATGTTATCGGCTATGTCCAGCTGCTCGGGGTCGTACTGGAAGCCAAGTGTCCGGTCGTCGTAGGCCTCCGGGTGCGCCTCGCCCTCGTCCACCGTGAAGTAAGGCCGCTTGGAGTCGTCGTCGTACTTGTTGGGCCCTCCGCCCAGCTTGCGGTCGCCCCCGGCGCCGCCCTCTTCCTCCTCGTCCTCGTAGCCGTTACCCCCCAGCGGCCCGGCTTTCTTCTCGTCGTCCGAGTCGTCCGGGTACTGGAGGTTCTGGGCCATGGGCGGGTGATGCTGGGGGATGCCGGCTTTGCTGTAGCCGTTGCCGTAGATGTGCTTCTTGGTGCTGTAGTCCCCTTTGAAGGTGTGACGCCGGTGCCGCAGCACCAGAAAGACCACCACGGCGATCACCACGACCAACGAGGCGCCTCCCACCACGCCCACAATCACGGCGGTGGGGAGGGTCGGCTGTGCCACGGATGTGCCCGATGGAGACGGGGTGTAGGGGAATTCTGGGTAGGAAAAGACAGATGGAAGGGGGAACAAGCATCAGTCTGTGAGGAAACCGCGGCGTCATGCTCTTAAGACTTAAGAAAACAAAAATGAAAAATAAAAACCGGAGGCGAGGGGGTGGGCGGGGGAGATGAGGAGAAGGAAAAAGGGCTGGAAAAGTCAGGGGAGGGGAAGGAAGCTTCGACGCAGCCTCGGCGCGCTTGACTGTGTGCGTCAGCTGGGCCTTGGCATCGCACACGGTTTGTGTAGCTGGCAGACGGCCACCCCTTACTAGTGCAAGCAGCGCGCTTCATGCATAAGCGCTGTGCGTGAGAACACACCCCTGCCATGTTTCTGTCAGTACCATGAGCCTGAGTTGTCAAGAGCATGCATTCCTACGAATCATCCCCCCCAGATATTGTCTAGAAGTGAAACAAATCTGCCCCCCCCCTTCCATTTAGATTTCTGCTCAGAGTCTCCCCTCGGCAGATTATGGCACCAGGTATTCCCACCCCCCCCAAGTTGTTCGAAACCTTGTTTGTCAAACCATTGCCAGCTGATCATTCTCAGTATCACTGTTTGGGGAGATCTGAGATCAGCGTTCTGGCTGTCAAAGTGGGGGCCGCTGCTTCAGAAGCTGAGATTTCAGCTTTTCGGGAGCAACTTGTAAAAGACGTGTGTGCCAGAAGCAAGACTGAGAGGCTGTGAAAGGCCATTGAGCCCCGGATTGTTGAGACTGAATGTTCATAAACTCCAGTTTGCTATTCAGAGCTTGCAGTCGGCGACTGGACGGGCAAATGGAAAGTGGAGATTCGGTTTCTGGAATTCACCTCTACGAATATTTGCATCAGCTCTCTTGGTGTCCTGCATGCTGTTGAAGCCTGGGCTCTTTAATGTTGGTGCCTAAAGTCCACAAACATGGACACGAGCTTCTCTGGAGTACACTCAGCAGGGTAAAACAGAGCCCAAATTTTCCACTTCACCATGCAAGTAACTCTGGCTTGATGTATCTCCTTTACCCAGATGTTCCAAGTCCCACCACCCATCTCCTTCCTAAAAGGATGAAGGAGAGATTGTGCAGAAGATGTGATGTTACATGCATGGTGGAGAGCAAGGCTCGTGGCTTGACCTTCCATGAGATCATCCCCATCACCATCCTAGAAATGTCTGGGAGGCTTTGGAAACGGCTTTAGGAGGTAGTGATCTGATTTGTGAAACCACTGGTAAAGCAATGCATTGAAAATGTTCCATCTAGTATGTAACAGGCTTGTGTGAAAGCTTAGATATCTCTATCTTTGCTGATGGCTTTGACCCTATGTCTGAACAAAGAGGAGGCACACACTCTGTATTCAACCCAAGTGGAACGCATTGCCATGTACTTCCCTGTATCACATGATCCAATCCTCAGAGGTGTACTGCTTCGGTACATTAAGGTTTCAGCTGTCTGTTGCTATCGTGACTAATAGCGACTGAGACCTCCATACTCGCCCCGTGGATTTGTCTAATCCCCTGGGGTGATAGACAGGTCAGCTGGCAGAAAATTCTATACATCCATGATATATTGTGAAAAGTCTTTTATGCCCCTTGATTTCCTGCCTATCCAGTTCTGTGAGTTGCCCCCAAATTTGAGCCCAGGTCCGGTAATCAGAGAAAGAGGAAACTGTCTTTTTCAAGGTTATTCCCCCCTCCCAGCATGATTTCCCAAAAACTCTACAGTTTGTTCCTGCTCTTGTCTTGGTTCCTCCTGGGCACCAAATCTCAGCCTGCCCTTTCTTTCTTTACAGAGGCCAGAGTACTGGGTTCAATTCCACAAAATGGGGAGAGAGGAAGCCTCCCTCCTCTTCCTCAAAGGTGACCAAGAGGGGGTAGAAGATCAAGGTTGCCTCCCCTGCCCCCCCCCATAGAAAGGTATTCAGGACAGGAGTGGTGGGCTTTAAGAGTCTCTTGCACGGATCCCACATTGAATTCATTAAAGACAGGCATGAATTTAAAAAACACACACATCAAATTCATTCAAAAATTGCTAATTTGTCAATTTCTATTTGTACACGAATCACGAATCAATGAATTTTTAGTGATTTTTGATTTGTTGTTGATTTGCTTGGCTATAAAATGTCCCCCAAGCTGCCTAGGGACACCAAAATTGCAGAAAAGCTTCCTCTGACCCTCCTCTACAAGCCCTCCAAGTTTGGCGAAGATTGGATTTCAAGTGTGCATGATATATACCCACAGAAAATGCCCCCCCAAACCTCAAGACACCAAAATCACAGAGAAACTTCCCATGACTCTCCTATACAAGCCCCCCAAGTTTGGTGAAGGTGGGGTTTCCTCAAGCCAGATGACTCTCCTATACAAGCCCCCCAAGTTTGATGAAGGTGGGTTTTCCTCAAGCCCAGATGCTAAAGGGCACTTTTCTGAAGGGACCCACTTTGTGGGGGGGGAAGCTTCTCTGTGATTCTGCTAAAGGGCACTTTTCTGAGGGGACCCACTTTGTGGGGGGAAGCTTCTCTGTGATTGTAGTGTTTCTAGGTTCCAGGGGGAATTTTCCTGGGAGGGGCCTCTTCATAGGGGTGTAACGTGGACATCCAAAACCCAAACTTCACCAAACTCGCATGGCTTGTAGAGGAGAGTCGGGGGAAGCATCCCTGAAACTTTGGTACCTCTAGATGCTTGGGAGGCAATGTTATGGAGTTTAAATTTTTTTTAAAAAAATGAATTGAATCAATTCATGAATTCATCAGAAAAAAATCATAAATTCATGATTTCTTGACCTTGACAAATCATGAATCAAAGCGAATCACAATTTTTCTGGTTCGTGCCCATCTCTAATATCCATCACCATAAAGTGCCCGAGCAAACCAGCAGCAGGAAAGAAGGAGAGAAAAGACTAAAGATGCAGATGTGCAAAAAGTGAAACACACATTCATCTTCTCAGGTTACACTCCAGAACCTATCAGCAAGGGAGCCCTTGTCCCGAGACACTCACATGCATCTAATTCCCTTGGAAAAAAAACAAACCAAACAAACCACTTAACTCTTCTTCTATCTCATGTGACTGTGACCTCAAACTCCCCCCCTCCACCCTTTTACCAATACTTCCCATTATGAACAATTCAACAGTGAAATAGCGAGATGCTGCTTATCTTCACACAATCCCCGGATACTTGCATGCTTGATGCTGTGACACCTGGTGGCCACGACATTTCACGGAATCTCTTATCTCTCCCCCTGCCCTTCCTTCTCACTGTTCCTCGGAAGGGGGATGTGGCGTGAGGTGGTGTGCAGAAGCCGAGTTGTGCTTCTAGGCACTTCCATTCTGTTTTTCATGTTCGTTCAAGACTGTTTCACCCACTGATCCTTTCCTAAGCTCAGTGGTTTAGGCACCTGGTGGAGCCACAGGTTGGAAGTTCGATTCCCCACTGGGCCTCCTTGATAAGCGCTGGACCCCCGTATGGGGTTGCTTCCAGTTCTGCAATTCTGAGATGACGATGGTCTTTTCCCCCCTTTTTTACGGACATAGCTCTTCCGAGCCCACAATAGGAGCCTGGTGCACAGAAAGACAACAGAGGGCACCTTTCCTTCTGGGGTCAGGGTGGAGCTTGGCATAAAGAGTGGGTGCCGAGGCCATGGTCGAGGGCAGAGGTGCTGCTCCTCTTGAGATATTTGGCAATCTTGTATAAATCACCGTTTATATTCTTGGGCACGGGAGATCAGGAAAACGGGACCCAACAGGGAAGATCAGAAAGCTTCTGGGTAGACGAAGGTGAAGACGTTGGGGTGGCGGCGTTGGGGAAGAGGATCTGATTGGAGTGGCAATTAGAGGGGAAGGACCTCAAAAGCACTGTTCCCAACACCGCCACTTGGTGGCGGAACAGAACCAGCTCTGTGCTCCTAAGTCTTGGTAGGAAGGAGAACTGAAGACTGCTCCATCCCCTATTTGCCTAATAGGGTCTAATAGGAAAGAGGGATGGGCGGCCTTCTTTCCTCTTTTAATTACAGAGCCGAGTTCCCATCCTCCGTGGGAGGAATCCCTAAACAGCCGGGCTTCTCTTTAAAGATCATTGGGTTGGACTGAAGACTCTCACCTTTGTTTACTGCTCAGTCCTCAGGGAACCCGAGGCTGGAAGCAGGTCAAGAAAGGCAGCTGTAAGGAGTTTACAACGCCTGTTGCCATCTTGCTTGGGCGGACAGGCAAAAGAGCTTGAGAAACCTAACCAGCAGGTCCCTCGCCATAACTTTTCTAACCTGTGGTCCAGATCCGATGGAGCTACCAAAACATGAGCCTTGCTGGGGATCTGAGGGCAGTTTGGGGCTGAACCAAGGACCCTTGGGTCTTCTTCCTTTCTCATTTTCCTCCAGTATCTCTTGGTGCATTGACTGGGGGGGGGGGATGACTTTTTCTGAATCACTATGCCACCATCTTAGCTATCGCCCGAGAAACCCAGCATTGAAGGATTCTGGGAGTTGCCTTCTTAAAAGTAAGGAGTCCATGTTCTCAGTTGGACCAGATGGACCACCAAAGACCATCTTCAGTGCTAGAAACCCATGACTCTCCTCCCCCTCCTGTTTTCGCTCGGCGCTACCTGCCTACCACCCATGACCAGGGCTGGTCCTCTGTAGCCCATTTCTCAGTCACCCTTGCCCAGGGACCCAGAGAAGAAGATTTAGAACACCGCCTCCGGATTTGCTTTTGGTGCGCAGCTGAACACAAAATGTGCATGGGGGGGGGAAGTGCAGTTGGAAGATGATAGATAAACCCTGATGCTACCCTAGAGTTATCACGTTTCTTTGAATGGACCTCTACCAGTTTACAACTATTCGTTTTTTTTACTTAAAGAGATAAATAAAGTTTTCAACTCTACATTTTCTTTTCCAAACGGCATTGTTTGTGTCCAGTGGCACCGCTTAAAAATTATTAAGTAAGCAGCTCCTGCCTCTTTTGATGTCTTCTATACCCCCGATTCTGTCCGTATCAGCTGTACCCTATCCTGAATTGAAAAAAAAAAACAGGCTGTGGGTA